CAGCCTCAATTTTTAATGTTCCTCAGATTTCGACATCATCCACAAGCAATAATATCGACGAATTAAGCAATAGCGGTAATCCGTTAACATAGAGAAGGACGAGCAGGGATCAAAATGGTGGCTTGGGGTACATCACTTCTGACCGAATTTCATCCAGGTAGCGACTCATTAACCGTCACTCTCTGTTTTCGACCACCTAGAAAGTTTCTCATCTATTTCTGAATAGCACACTTTGTTCCGAAGCTCGAGAGCTCCTGAATAATACCTAAGTGAGAAACCATATCAAATGCTTTGCTAGAGTCGACGAATATCACATCGAAAGACAGACCTTTATCTAGGGTTGCTCTCCACTCCCCTCTCACGATAAGTAAGTCAGGTATCAATGCTCGTTTCGAAACCCGTGTTGCTCGGGAGTTAACAGATTGTACGAATCTATGTGACCTAGTAACTTAACCCGAATTATCTTTTCAAGTAACTTAACGATTATGCTGGTTAGACTGATAGGTTGGTAGTTAGATACGGTCTGTCTCTGACCATCCCTGAATATAGGACTGACTAGAGCATCTTTTCAATCTCTAGGAAGTTGGGCAAGTGAAAAGGGCATGTTCAAGTGCGTTGCGAATGGTCTTGAAATAATGTCTGCAAGAGATGACATCAGTCGTGGATGTAACCCACCAGGGCCCGGTATCTTACAAGGTTTGAGGTTAGTCTCAGCTATTGCCGGTTCTGATCCAGTTAGTAAATATGTAACAGTAATAAGGGAACACGATCATTACGTTTTGTCCCCCGTTTAACGTACGAAAACAATGGTTTCGGTCAAGAACGGCCATCATATGCCAACTGTCTTTCGTAAATAGTACGGCATTTAGCTATGGTCCTTTTACATCTACATTTCCGGATTTTTGGTATTCACACTTAGATGACTCGTATCCCGTTGACAAGAATAAGTCCCAGAAGTGTTTCCTACGCTTTGAAAACTTTCGGGTTTCCTTATTTATCCATGGAGGGCGATGTGACCATGGGATAAAACGTGATGTTACAGACTCGAATGTAGCCTTAAACTTACGAATACTTGAATCGCCAGTTTTGTATGCGTTATTCAAAATTACGTCTCTCATCGAAATTCTTGAGTACCAACTTTAAGACCCTTCTTAGTAAGGTCTCACCTTCAACCCCTTTACTGAGTCTTATTACTTTCGTGATATGTACCCATGAAACCTCTTCTGGCAGTACATTTCTGATGGCAGATTCCGCTAACTCCAAATGTTGTGTGTTCCTGTTAGCAGGGTCATTGTCTTTCTACTTCTCTTGATATCAAATAATTAAACTAGGATGGGGTCTAACTTCTTTGAAAGTCGTGTTCACGGCTTTCAATCTTGATGTCAGATCCTGCCTGTTAACTGCTAGGATCTTACCATAAATTTTTGTTGTAACAGTGTTTAGGAGTCGAGGGAACGACTTACGACAATGTTTAATGAGGCCAAACCTCTCCCATGTACGACAAGGTTAAATGTTGTCTTACGTTTGGACTTTGGAGAAGTAAAGTGCAACGCAGAATGTGAGTCCACGAAGGACTTTTCAACCGAACGGGTGCTGTTTTTGGCTATTTTTTGCTCTCTTCTACGTTGCTTCGTCATCCATTTCCTACCAGTTGCAGCATTTACATTACTACTCGAGACGATAATAGTTTTGTCTAAGTCATTAGTCGCTGATGTAGCAATTTGGCCGTCAGTATCTAATGGTGTACACATTTTATGGAACAATTTCTTAAACTCATCACATTGCATTCCTTCTTCCACAAGGAAGGTTGCCCACATTTGTGAGCAGAGCCGACCATCCGAAAAATCAATTTAAAATAGTAACACGAAAATGGATGTGTAAACAAAAAATTTCACATCTTAACCGTGTAAATCAAGTTAAAGTCGACCGAGTATGCTTTGATCAGTAAATATACTTAAGCTTAGTCAATGCACACAAGTAAAATCTCACTTTAACAGGAATGAATTCAAAATGTAAACGGAAATTTACGATCAAAACTGTAAATTTAACTCAACGAGGAATAACAATGTCCTTTTTAAAAACTCGCTGAAGATCCAGATTAATGTAGTAAGGACAGCAGTCCTACGGCCTTTGTTATTCCTTTTCTAGAATGCTTTTGTGAGTGTATAATCTTCTCTTGAATAAGTCATTTGAAGGTGCAGACACCACTGCTTTGGGTAACAGGTTCCAAGAATTGATGACTTGGTGTAAAATCCTGTATTCTACGAGTATTTTTGTTCGTTCTTGGTTTTTCTACTTGCCTACCATGCTTTCTGAGATGTCCCAATCTAGTGGGAAGAAAGAGAGAGGATTTACGATGCTCAAAAACATTGCTAATGAGGTACGGAAACTTGGGTTGATACACATATGTGCCTGGTCCTACGTTGTAGCTGACTGTCTGACCTTTGTATCCTTAAATTGCATGTAGGCGCACTTTGCTGCATTGATAGGCATCAGCCGCCTTAGACCAATCAATCACAATATTTAAGTCTGCATAAATTGTGCATGCATCTGCGTCTCCTGTTATTTCTCGCCAGATTTTTACATCATCAACGTATAGTAACATTGGAGACTTAAATATACTTGAGAGTTCATCTGCATACGGTATAAAAAGTAAAGGACCTAGGATAAATCCATGCGGTACTCCACGGAGTACTGGTTTCCAGGTGGAACATTTGGAATTTACTCTTAATTTCTGTCTGCGACCTACCAGGAAATCCTTAAGCTATTTTTGGAGAGGTACGTTAATGCCCAGATTTTTCAACTTTAAGAGCAGTATATTTGTTGGCACATAATCAAATGCTTTGCTGAAGTCTATGTCGACAACACTCCCCGATTTTCCATTGTTTGTAGCTTCTATCCATCGCTACATTTCTATGAGGAGGTTTGTTGTGCGAGATAACCCTTTTTCTGAAACCATGTTGTTCACTGTTTAACAAATTGTTGGTTTCCACGAACGTCATTATGGCCTTTTTGACTTTTCTTTCCAGTATGTTTGTGATGTGTGCTACTGATGTCGATAGATATAAGTAGTATATATCATCAACCGAAAGTGAAATATCTGGTTGACACTTTGCTAGTGTTTAATTTATGGTTTTCAGACTTTACTAAGAAGTTCTGTAAATCAGTGTTCAAATACATCGGTTGTCTTCACCTGTTTTCGCTCACTACATTTGGTGTCGCTGCCAGGATTTAAACCTGGGTTGGTGCGGACACTGGTGAGGCTGACAGGTCTGTAGTTTGATGGAAGTTGTTTCTGTCCTGTTTTATGTATTAGAGTGATAATTACATCCTTCCATTCCATAGGTAACACACCTTTACCAAGTGACATTGAATATCACAGTCAGTGGGGCTGCAATATATTGTGCAATATGTCTCTGGATTTTGGGATGTAGTTCATTCGGTCCTGTTGATTTTTCCATGTTTGATGTGCTAAGAGCCTCAAGTACATCGTCTCTCTCAAATTCCACGGTGAGCAGAAGATCTGTTGACTTCGTCTAGAAGTGGCTGCCGAGTGAAAACTATCCCAAAATAGTTTGCCATAACCTCTGCCTTTTCTTGATTATCCTTTATCATTTCAGATCCACTCTCCTCCGTAATTAGCTTGGGAATCCAGTGCTGCGTCCTTGTTCTATAATTTATGTTCGAGAATAGTCTCTTGGGCTGCTTGATTGAAGATTGTGCCAACTGCATTTCATATTTTCTCTGAGCTTCCCGGATCGCAATTATACACCTATTTCTTGACGACCTGGAGCGTTCCATCGTACTTGCTGTACCAAGGCTGATGACAACATTTCTTCTTGTCTTGGTAAACGTCTAATATACCGACCTATCCAGGGATGGCCATGCTCCTTCTCTTTGACTGTCTAGGGTATATATGGTTGAGTTACTTGATTGTATAACTGCCTGAAATGAGCCCATGCCTCTTCTACTTATGCCCCTGAGTCAGTTATCCAGTTTCCAGCCAATGCTGCAGAGTTGATTGCTTTCATGTCTGCCTTCCATATGTTAGGAAGGGCCGGCGCATCTGTTTAACAGACCATCCCAGCCACGAACTTGAATAAGATGACTGAATGATCATTTCTCCTTAGAAGTGGGACGGAAGTCATTTGACCAACATCATCACCGTGTGTGAAGACCAAGTTCAAGAGAAACGAGGAGCTTTGTAAGTCATATCTGGTGGGATCCCTAGTGTGCTGTAATAAAGCTAATTCAATTGAGGTTTCTAACAGTTTGCAATCAAATGACGTTGTCGATGACCCTAATTCTAAGTTTACCGAGTTCATATACGGTGCAGTAAAGTCGCCTACTATAATGCCTTTACCCTTATTGCATTAGGACTTAAGTTTGCTTGAGAGGAATTTATCTGGTACACATTCTGGACTGTGGTATACTACAATTAATTCAATATCTAGTCGTTTACATTTAAGCCTGCAACGCACCAGTTCAGATGTCCCTGAATCATGTTCTGCTGTCCCGACAGCTCGTATGGCTAATGTACTTTTCGTGTACAGGATGACCCCACCACCCCTACGATTTAGTCTATCAGCCCTACTGGATAAAAAACCAATCAACTGAATTTCGCTATCAAACACTTCTGACGTTACCATGTTTCTGATACAGTAATGACATCCGGGTTTATATATCCAATATTATCTTGAGCTCTGCCATTTTATTTTGTAGACTGCAAGCATTTGTGTAGCACACCTTTAATTTTGTGGAGAACTTTCCTTTACCACTTAGAGTGGTTTGGGGACCGTTTTACTCCGAATGTTTGCAATTTGAAAACCCTTAAGTACGAGTTCTTTTTACCGTTTCGGCGGCGCTCATTTATTTCTACTTCTGAAGCTCTTCTCTTAATACGGCCAACTAGGCTGAGATCCTCATAGACATATATTCTGTATCCAATCAGTTGGCATGAGTTTTACAGAATTTGTTTTCTTTATTCAGCCGAGGCGAAGGTAACCTTTGAAAGGCGGCTTTTCTGAGTACTTTCCTGTTACTTTCTGAGAGTAGCATATTGAAGACTGTGTGACTAAGGTCGTGTTCGAATCTGGCCTTTGGTTCCTTTTCGGAAGATTCTCTTAACTTATGGGAAATGACTGACCTAGGTCAGTCTGCGCGGTCCGTCTTAATACGCTGGGGAATCTTAATTTCTGAAACCTCCCTGCATTCCGATTTAGCGTCAAACACAAATGTCTCACTCTGTTTCCTTTTCTTTTTCTGGATATGATTGTAAGCCAGTCATTTACCTTATTATGTCTTTTGATCACATCACCTAAACCTCTCAGGATTTGCTCCCACATAGTCTGTTTTGTGAATCCGGAACATGATAATGTTCATCGTCAGTATATTATATTCTTGCCGAGACTCGTCTGTTGTGTACTAATGCCATGTGGCGGATTCTTAATCTATTATAGCATTTAGTTAACATAGGCTCACATGTGAGTACTTTATATAAATATTTTTATTAGCTATGACGTATGGATAGTTCGAGGTAGAAAACTTAATGATTACTAACACTTATAAATTTTTTTATATAGACGAAGATTAAGTGTAAATGAAGTGCCCTCAGTACTCTTGGCTCTGTACATCCTCATATCTCAATGAGTACGATCAGAGTTGTGGTAAACACTTATGAACACAACAAAAAGACGTTGATGAACACTTTACTTAGTGTGCTAAATCCGTACTACTTTAGGGGGACACTGAGATTTATTTCTGTTAAACAAGGTGATAATGGATTTCATGTTAATACCACGAGTGTCTGTAACCAAATACTGGCTCACAATTCGTCGTACGAAGTGTATAACAGGGCGTGTGTTACATTGTCGGACATGACTGAAAAAAACTAAGTGAGGTTCTCATTCCCGTTTAGTTGTTAAAGAATCTCAATACACATAATTGTATCAAAATCTGAGAGCGTACTAGTGTCTCGGTTTATCTTTGTTTAATCACCTAAAAGTATGTAGATACAAATACGAAACTGATATTATTTACTGTCACCGAAACCACTATTAAGACCTCAAATTCATTCACCTTAGTCGAATTCGTATTTCTTGTGAAAGTACACCATGGGGCTACTTTGACCAGCTAGTCATTTAGTGACAAAATCAGCACCCCCAAGGTGTGTTCAGTGATTACTAAATACTATCAACATAGTAGAATGATAATTGTGTATTAAATCTTCAGTCAGAAGTCATGTTCGAGGTACTACTACCGTTGGTAGTTGGATTGATATGGGGAAGTACCAATATCTGTATGAAGTATAACTCGAACAAAATGCTCAAAGTAAGAATTCTTGTTTCATGGATCGTCTCGTAGCTTCTGGCGTTTTTTTTCTTGAATCAATCCGCCTCTATTTTGTTGATGTTTGGATTCAGATATACACGTAAGTAATCGGAAACAAAAATCTGACTGTTTTAGAATTGTCAAGAGGTGTAGCGATAGCAAACTCAACAGCTTTACTAGCGTCAGCACTTACAAGCTCATGTGTTTACCATGACAAAATGAGATTTGGCGGTACGTTGCTACCAACTAAAGTTATCTGTACGTAAACTTCTAGGTTCTGTTGGAGTTGTGCTCATATGTGTTGGAACTGGTCTACTCAACAGCTGATGAGTATCATAAAATAAATTTTGTGACACATTTTCGGAAAAGTGAAAAATTATTTATACACATTTTTAAGCTATAATGATAGTTGTGAAAATAAGTGCAAGTCGTCAAATTAACCACTGTAGTGTTGCCGTCCATTAAAGTAACCAAAAAAAAAGTTCAGAGCAGATATGTGGTTAAGAAATGAAGTAAACCATTGTAATCGTACGACTACTGTCGCACACATAAATCCGAGTCCCATTATCGTAACCAGCCATGATACGAGTAGGCAAACAGCATTTGACTCAAATGAAAATTGAGGTACATTATCATAGTCCGAAGGAAGAACGCGTAGTGGCACACGAGGTAAGAGATCTGCAAAATAAAACATCGAAAACAATGCCGAGAACTAGTGTATACAAATAGATGTTTGCTGAAAACCTTGTACTTCAAATACAACTTGTGTTGTGTTTCTTGTGGCTTCACATTCGTATCGAATTAGTAGGAAACTCGAGGTTTCAGTTTCGTTTCCCCCTAGTGCCCTTGTACGAATGAGTGTGGGAGGAGTCTTCCCCCCCATCGGAATTCTGTCATATGACCACGGATTTATAGTCATTGCAGAAACCCTACTTACTGCCTTCTTGTTCACGAAAGTAAGAGAACCAATAGCGAATGTCCGGAGGACTCACCCAGGGGGGAGTCGAAAAACCCTATTTGCAAACGAATGGTACGTATGAGTTTCAGGGTCTTAAAGGACCGAATGTAGTGTCAATCCATTTTTGTTACTGGTTATCACAGAACTGTATTTCTAGACGTTCATCGACTACCTTGTGGATTAGACGCTCTAGTCAACAGCTCAAGGAGTGGCTACTAAGAATACAACTGTTATAATTTCTCTTTTTGCTTAGTATTCTTGGACACCATTTCACTCGAAAGGTCTCAAACCAGAACACGATTGAACAGGAACGTAATTATATCTTAAATAAAAGGGTCGAATGGAAGTAGGAATCACAATAAGAAAAACGTTAGTAATTTATGATTAATACATAAGAAGATTCTAGAGTCTTCTCCAGGACTGCCAGCGTTGATTGGTTAAAAAATAGCCAATGAGCGTTCACCAACACAATCTTGCACAGGGCATGCTTTGATTTAACTTATATCCCGTTAAAGACAACCTGCTTTGACTTAGATGCCCAAAAACGTATATGCTTGGAAAGACTTGAAATCAATTACTGCGCTATATATGACATTCTCAAGGCTAGTGGAATACCACATACTCACTTGGTCTTTCTATTCGCAAAATTTGTTTTGTGTGCATTTCCTACTTTATGGCAGTGAAACATGGCCAGTAAGAGTAGAGGATATTCGTAGGTTACTAGTATTTGACCATAGGTGTCTTCGAAACATCGCTCGTATATCCTGGGACCACCGAGTAAGTAACTCAGTTGTTAGGAAACGGGTATTAGGTAAGGATGGCAAATCAATTGAAGAAGTAGTGAAACTTAATCAGTTGAGATGGCTGGGACATGTGCTGCGCATGCCCGACCACCGACTGCCCCGGCGTGCTATGTTTTATGGTGTAGGAGTAGGTTGGAAGAACGCTAGAGGCGGTCAGACCAAAACATGGCACAAATCCATGAAGTCACTGACAAGTGGACTGAGTCATGTTGGTAGGTGTAGACTACCTGGTTGGGGACCGCGAGACGATAGCAAGCGATGGTTAGAGACCTTGAATGACATGGCTCAAAATCGTTTGCAATGGCGCAGGTGCATCCACTCTTTGTGTTCTCTCAAACTCTAATCTTCTGAATTCTTCATGTCCTTTATTTTCTTTCCCAATTTATTCCACTGGACTATACTCCTTTAATAACATCATCAAACCTTAATGTCCCCTATCTCTACTTATACTTTCAGTACCTCTACCACTATGGGATTTAAATCGATAACTGAATCTCTGTGCTAATGTGGTATGGCAACTCGAACTGATGTACGTACGTACGAAGTTCCACGTTGTTACTAACTGACTGACTGCATTTCCTCAGGGATCGTAGGGCATCTTTTTCCAGTTCTGTTGGTGTCGTACTAGGCATTAGCGCTAACCAATAGCCAGTTATTTGCCGTTAGGTTAGAAAGGTTCAAGAAACTTAAGGGAGTCGGTGTAAGGAACGATAACTTTGTGTTGTTTCTGCCTAAACCCCTACAGATTACAACTCAGACGCAATTAAAAATGGATTCTACCATCGGCTAGATAGTCTCTAGAGAACACGTTCGACAGATATGGTAGTGCTAGCCGGTGTGAATGCGCAGATTGGGTGCCTAGAAACAGTATGGTTAGTGGGGATTTTTTAGTCGCAGACCGGAAAACACTAGCTGTCACCTACAGCTTTGCGTAGGCAGTACTATATTTCTAGCCACCGACAAATTCCAGCATCCAATGCCTTTATGCCGTGAGCATGGAGTGTCACATTTCTTAACTAGATGTGCAAAGTTTGGGTAAGGACAAACAAGGCAACTCAATTTAAAAAATACGACCAGGAAGGATTTTTCCAGTCTTAGATGTGCCGCACAAATTTATGGATACAGAAGCAAACTACAACAGGGTTACCACTGGCTTGTGTTCTGAGCGATGTCTGGTCGTCTCAAGTCACTGAGTAGCATCACGTCTAAGACCTTAGCCAGGATGTTTTGATGGACCGACAGATGTCAATCCCATACGTTATCATGCATAGCATGGCACCACGTATACTGACTACGTCTGACCTTCTAACCAGTCCAAGCGTCAGCAATTAAGACATAGCGTAAAAGCTGTTGAAGCGGCGTTCCTTTCACAAGTCCAAGCCACTGAGAACACTGTTTCAGGGTGATGGCATCAACCAGGTTATCTTAACCGACTCCTTAGCATGTATTACCGAACTTGGTGTTGCCACCGGATACTAGTAGTCTTTCAAATACAACGGTATTTGAAAACAAATATACTTGGCCCAGAGTACTAAGGAATTAAACAGAAGTACATGAACTCAGACTTTGACAGTCAGACAAACATCACGGCGGTGAAAAGAATGAGCCAACTCGGCACAAATTCCTCCAGCACTTACTACACGTTAATTAATTTCATAACTCACACCAACGTTGGGACAGCGACTCACATACACAAAATCTCTACCTTCTTGTAATGGGTCACTCCAAAGTGTAAGTGCAGCACAGATTCCTACCAATACTACAATAGATTTACTATTTGTGTAGTGCTTGTCATACCTACAAGCACCTATTGAGAACTGATGATTTGCGTGTCATCCCAAAGTAGGACAATATCACCCAAGATCGAAGTCTTTCTCTAGATGACATATCCATACCATCATTGCTTCACAGCCATCAACAAAAGGAGGAACGATGAGTTTTGGTTACCGTGTATAACTACTGTTAAACTGGAGTGATGGTGCGAAGAAGTATTCCCTTACTCTGCTCGATGTGTTTGTGTACAAACCTTCGAGATTTTGCTGACGTTCTTAGACACTTTTGTTCTAGAGTTTCAGGGCACAGTCCTGTCGGACTAGTCAGAAACGGTACTAATATCAAGAAAAAATTATTTGACCTAGAATAAACATGGTGCTTCTCTAACATTTGGCGGAGGGTATATATATGATCAGTACCCCACACTGGTTAAAAGCCGCCCTGCTCCCCGCGAGTTTTAGGTGGTGCAGACTGTGACAGGACAGCAGTCTGGACGCAATTAAAAGAAGACATGTCCCTTGATATTTGTTGCATAGACGATGTAGGCACTTTTCAAGCAAAAAGACGACGACCTCTTCATTTCATTATATTGAAGCGAATTGCTTTGCGAACAACCCAGTCCTCTGAGCAGAAGTTTGTCACAATCTTTAAAGAGGATCCGGTGGCTGGCGGTACTTCGGTTATCGGATCTCCTTGCAGACCTCTGTATTGTTAAGTGAACACGTTCGTGGGGTAACAGGCTAGCTGTACTGTCCTTTGTGAAACTCTATAATCCAGGACTTCACTAGAGGTTATTAATTGACTTTCCATCAGCTTAACAGACTTCTAGATGTCAGTGGTTCAAATGAGTTAAATTAGCTTCTAGCATAAGCTGTTTCTAACTCGAAATTACGCTCCGACCATTAGGTTTTGTTAAATATTATTTTAATATTTCTGTGATTGGACTATGTGTGTTCGGGCACAGTGATGGAAATGCAGTCAGTGTCACTATTTTCACACAATGGTTTTGGTAGCATGAACATAGTTTACCAGTACCGTCGTAGCAACATGCATGTAGTGCAGTAATGGCGGGCTCTAGGCAAGAAAAAGTGGTTTGAAAGAAAACTGTATGGGACTGGCATCTGTCGGTCCATTACAACATTCTAACTGCGCTCCTAGAAAGGGCTCAACTAACTGGCGTGAAACTTTGTCAGATATGGCTCAGAACACAAACCAGTGGCGACTCTGATGTAGTATGCTTCCACCTTCTCCGCAAAAAGGTAAGGAGTTCAATGGATTGGCAGAATTATTTCTGGTTTTATTTTAACTGAATTATCTCTCCAATTATACACTTTTGGTTTATTTGTTTTTATTCATTTAGCTGTTTTTGATTTCAATCTTTCTTTAATCTGTTGACAATTTACTTTCGTGTTTAAATGACGCATATCAACATTCGAGCCCGTTTGTGCTAGTAAGTGTATCAAGTACACAATTTCTTAATCGTTCAATGTAATAAATGTACTAAACTGTCTTACAAAATTACATTACACTTTCCCACTTGGGTTGCATTCTATGCTTTTAAATAAGGGTTTGAATAGATATGAGCCGACGGTTTTACAGAGAATAAAACTGTGGTGTAAATCCAGGTCTTAGATTATTTGTCGAGTACGAAAGGATTCTGATGGGTAGATACTTGTAATAAACAAATATTTATTGCAATTTTATTGATGGATATAGTGAACAAGGAAACGTATCTCTTTCTTCTTTGTACCATGACACAACACTTTAGATTCGGTTGCTGTCAGTATTTGTAAAGCTCAGCCTTCTGTTGCTAAATTACGAGTTTGAAGCCTGTTACACATAATTCGGTTTACTTGACAGGTTAGCGTTACTAGCTTACATAAAAGATGTGGACGAAAGCGAACTACATGGAGATGCAATTGGTAACTGAGTTGCATTGACTTTAATCATAATCTAGTACAAACAAATGGACTTTCTGATCTGTTTTTGCATTCATGTTCCTATACAGCCCTTAATAACATCATCTTACTTTTATAGCAAGTAGCCGACCTCCAGCAGTTGTCCCTTGGGCACTGCGGTCACGCTCTCAGGTCACTAAGACCACCTCTAATCCAATTTCTTTTTCAGGTACCTCCAGAAGAACCCTTCCACGGTGTGGGTAACCGGGAGGTGATAAACGCCCTCATACATCTAACAGCACTCAAGACTAAAGTGAACTAACACCATAAGAACCTATACTGAGTTAACAACACTGGATTGAAGTCACTGGGGCAGATAGCATACATAACATTCAGTCTGTAATTAGAAGTATGGACTTACGCATGTTTGACCAAATGAAGTCAGCCATCCCATCCAAATCGACATCTGAACCGGAATACTCATTGAAGATTTTCCCGTTAACGATAATCTTGAGTTTTGGGACAAACAACATACGCAGACTCCATTTGTGAACGAGATAATCATCCACCTGGATGCCGTAGACTGGAAGTTGGGGATATGCTCGAGCTAAGGCATTTATATAAGGCAATGAAGCTTCAGAAAATCGACAAGTAGTAGAGAAAATGAACAAGATGTAGCATTCATGTAACCTCAGTTGGTCAGGATGTTTAGCATGGTTTCCAGGATCCCACGTGAATTGTGAGTTGGGCCAAGGGGAGTTGAATAAATCTGATAGTTGTGCTTTATGCAGAAATTTAACATTGCTAGAACTACCATTTATCCAGTTAAATTTCAGGAGTTTGCATTGTGGAATAATATGGGATCGTTCCGTCGTAGACCATACAGATTGGAGGAAACTAATTTCTGTCATGAAAAAGAAAGAAAAGAATAGGTAAACTGTTTCTTGTCTTTTACAACCACAGCGTAATACAAAGCTGATTTGTGGGCACTCTGTCGCCAAATAATCCATCATAGCTAATGAGATTTTCAAAATAAATGAAGTGTTCAATGTGCTCAACTGCTTCACTTCCTATTGTGATGTGTGCTACTGATGTCGATAGGTACAAGTAGTATGTATCATCAGCCGAAACTGAAATGCCTGGTGGCAGAAAATTAAGATCGAGAACAGAGAATGTTTCCTGTGGAAATGAAGGAACACTGAAGCCTGAGACGATTGATTGACATTTCGCAAATGAAATATTTACTGTATGGTTTTCAGATTTTACTAAGAGATTCTGTAATTTTGTGTTGAAATATATTCGGTTGTCTGTGCTAGTGTTCTTGTTCACTGCACTATGATCAATCGGCGCGTTAAACTAGACCAGTCCTTAAGCGATATTTTGCATTTATCAGAAAGAGGTTTTGTGAAGAATGTAGTAATTTAATAGTTGAGTTCATGAATTGATTAAAGCTAGACCACCATGAAAAACCTAGAAGCACTGAACGGTCGTCTCATTCTAGTATGAGACTCCTCAGCAGTGCGCATCCACGATCTACCGCGGTATTCGAAACTTCGGTCTCGCGCTTAATCACTAGACCATTGGGCTGGCATCCAACAGTGGTGATGTCTAACTTGAACCAACCCACGAAATTACGCCACTGACTATGGTTGTCTCACAACAGACTTGGTTGAAATCCACTGGTTACGGCTTATTAGAAGAACTCTAGGAAATACCCCTTGAAACCAGTCACTAGCGATCACATGATGATTATGATCAGGAAGAGGTTTTGTGATTCCAGCGGAGGAAGAAGCGCTGGAAGTAAATAGGACACACTGAGGAAAGCACCAAACCGCGTTACAAGTCAAGCTCTCACTTGGAATCCTCAAGGCCAAAAGAGAAAAGGAATACCAGATAACACATTACACCGAAAAATGCAGACAGACATGAGAAGAATAAACAACAATTGGATTGGACTAGAAAGGAAAACCCAGGGCAGAGTGGATTGGAGAATGCTGGTCGGCGACCTATGCTCCATTGACGGTAACAGGCGTAAGTAACTCACTGATGACAGCGACCGTCCAGTGCTCCCAGGTTTTCGATAGTGGTCTAGTTTTAATTAACTTATGAACTCAACTATTAAATTTCGCATTTAGATGGAAAGAAACGCATCGCAATCATGCCCGTATTGCCACACAAAGAATTCAGGAAACCACATTATCCCTAGGTCCCTACTAAATAGGATTATGTCAATTGGGTACTCCGTATGGGTAAGCGAGTTTCTGAAAAGAGGATCAAACCCTGAAAACAGGTCATGAAAGTGTTATTTCTAGAACATCCGTAGCGAAACTAAGTAAAAGATACTACTTAAGGTTGACAAATGCCGTGATTTGCCATCAATTTTAAATTGACCGTTGACGTTCAAATAAAGTCTTTAGAAGAATCATAATTTTTTTTAGTGTAATTTTCAGCGACAAACTGTTACAAAACCTATCGGCCAACTAAACCAGACAGAACATTCAAGGCAAAAGAATAATCACACTTGGCTGTCACCATGTTTGTTTCTATTTAGAAGTTACAAAATTCCTCTTATGACATTGAGTTTTCTGAGTTAGACTTCGGGATGTTCAATGTCGTTTTCGACTTCATGAAAGTTCCGCAACTAAAACATAGACATCAGAGAATCTAACAACACTAAAACCACCCGTCACAGCTATCAACGTGCATGTTGACATAAATCTGCCCCTGTCTGATCATTTAACACAGCCGTAACATGACAACTTTTTTTATAAACATAACGCCACAGAAATATATTAGCTTACTAGTAGTTATGTATGCCTTCTGACAAACTACTTTTGATTAATTGCATGGTTTTTTACTAATTGGAGTTCCGAAAACCCACAAATAACTTCAAAATAACGAGACATTAAAATACGAGAGCAAGTTATCATTTGATACCGTAGTCTTATATATTCTTTTTGTTGTTACCGCAAACTTAAAACTTCTTAAACCTCATTATATGATTGAGGATGGGAGACTCACCTAATATAGTTCAGTAAGCCATTGGGGACCGCAGGAACAGGACATACCACTCTATATGGACCTGAACCTGGTAACATAGTTCTGATAAAAATTATAAGTGGAAACAACAATTTAAAAATGTATGCATGGTTTACATTTTTACACTCACAAGTTACTTACTACTAAAGACAGTGGTGTTGGAACTAATTTAAACCATAATTTTGAAACAAAAACTGGAGCAAATATTTGTTGATCTAAGTTGACACGCTTTGCAATGTAGTGGGGAACTGCAGCAACCTTATAATAAATGACCCAAGATACAACTTACGGACAACGATAAAGTAAGATGTCTTTAGGCGTACTTGTTTTCAGTTTTATTTCACTTTTTAAAAAAATATTCCAGGCCACGAAATTCCGGAGTAACACAAGGCAATGTTTTTTCTGATACAGTTTAGTATGAGAAACAATAATGTCATTTTGTCTTGAAGCACATAGTTGTTGGGTGATTTGATGCAGACCGAACAAACATATCGTTCTTGTTACCAAGGTAAAGTGTTCAAAACAGACCCCAATTACTAGTAATCCATTTCGTTTATTTCTAGAAGCAGTGACTAAGTAGTAAAATTATCTGGCTTTCAGCCAAATATAAATCCTTCACCTATATTAGTTTGGGCTTACTTACTTACTTTCGCCTGTTACTCCTCGTGAAGGAGCATACGCCGCTTACCAGCATTCTCCATCCAACCCTGCCCTGGGCAATCCTTTCCAGCTCTTTCCAGTTCTTTTTCATCCCTTTCATATCCGTTTCTATTTCCCGACGTAATGTGTTCTTTGGCCTTCCTCTTTACCTCTTCCCTTCAGGATTCCAAGTTAGCGCTTGTCTCGTAATGCAGTTTGATGATTTCCTCAAGGTATGTCCTATCCATTTCCATCGTCTTTTCTTAATTTCTTCTTCCGCTGGAAGCTGGTTGGTTTTATGATGTAAAATTATATATTCATGTCAAGGTATGATGAAGAGCCAAAAGTTCGAAAGATGTCCTGATGCCACCCACCAGCACTTGCCACCCAACCCTGTCCTGGACAATCCTTTCCAGCTCTTTCCAGTTGTAATTCGCCCTTTTCATATCTGATTCTATTTCCGGAAGTAATGTATTCTTTGGCTTTCCTCTTTTCCGCTTCCCTTCAGGATTCTAAGTTAGGTTTTGCCTCGTGATGCAGTTTGGTGATTTCTGCAGTGTATGTTCTATCCATTTCCATCGTCTTTTCCTAATTTCCTCTTCAGCTGGAAGCTGGTTGGTTCTCTCCCACAAAAGGCTGTTGCTGATGGTATCCGGCCAATGGATGTTGAGTATCATGCGTAGACAGCTATTGATAAATACCTGTACCTTCTTGATGGTGGTTGTTGTAGTTCTCCAAGTTTCAGCTCCGTACAGTAGAACTGCCTTGACGTTGGTATTGAAGATTCTGACTTTGATGTTGGTTGAAAGCTGTTTTGAGTTCCATATGTTCTTTAATTGAAGGAATGCTGTCTTTACTTTGCCAATCCTAGCCTTTACGTCTGCATCTGAACCTCCTTGTTTATCGACGATGCTTCCCAGGTATGTGAAGGATTCCACATCTTCCAGAGTTTCGCCATCAAGTGTGATTAGATTGGTGTTCTCCGTGTTGTATTTGAGGACCTTGGTTTTCCCTTTGTGTATGTTGAGGCCTACTGATGCAGATACTGCTGCTATGCTGGCTGTCTTCATCTGTATTTGTTCGTGTGTATGGGATAGGAGGGCTAGGTCATCTGCGAAGTCCAAATCGTCTAATTGGTTCTGAGCTGTCCATTGTATGCCATGTTTTCCCTCAGATGTCGAGGTCTTCATAATCCAGTCGACCACCAGAAGAAAGAGGAAGGGAGAGAGTAGACAGCCATGTCTGACTCCGGTCCTTACTTGGAATGCGTCTGTCAATTGTCCTGCATGCACTACTTTGCACTGTAATCCGTCGTATGAGTTCCGGATAATATTGAAAATCTTCTCAGGAACTCCGTAGTGTCGAAGAATTTTCCATAACATTCTCCTATCTACACTGTCAAATGCCTTCTCATAATCAATGAAGTTGACGTACAGTGACGAGTTCCACTCAATTGATTGTTCGACGATGATCCGAAGTGTCGCAATTTGGTTTGTGCACGACTGATCCTTACGGAATCCAGCTTGTTGATCTCGAAGTTGAGCGTCTACTGCGTCTTTCATCCTGTTTAGTAACACTCTGTTAAAGACTTTTTCTGGTATTGACAGTAGTGTAATGCCTCTGTAATTTTCACACTTGCTCAGGTCTCCTTTCTTTGGAATCTTGATGAGGTGTCCTTCCTTCCAGTCCAACGGCACTTGTTCCTTCTCCCAAATCTTCTTGAATAGAAGATGAAGTATGTTTGTCGTTACTTCGATGTCTGACTTCAGTGCTTCAGCTGGTATATTGTCGTGTCCTGCTGCTTTCCCGCTCTCGATTTGTCTGATGACCATTCTGATTTCTTCGGTAGTTGGTGGATTGACATTTATAGGACGATCTGTGTGTGCTGCTTCGATGTCCGGTGGATTCATTGGAGCCGGCCTGTTCAGTTCCTCGAAGTACTCTGCCCATCTGTTGCGCTGTTGTTGAATCTCAGTGATTGGTCTTCCTTCTTTGTCTTTGACTGGTCTCTCTGGTTTACTATATTTCCCTGCTAGCTTCTTCGTCGTATCGTAGAGCTGTCTCATATTTCCTTATCTTGCAGCTTTTTCCGCCGTTGTTGCTGGTTCTTCCACGTATTTTTGCATATCAGCTCTAATGCTCTTCTTCACTTTCTTGTTTGCTTTTATGTATTCAGCTTGTGCTTGGACTTTCTCTGCTCGTGTTCGACTATTGTTAATTGCTGTCTTCTTGTTCTTCCTTTCTTTGATTCGGACCAGTGTTTCTATAGAAATCCATTCCTTGTGATGATGCTTCTTGAAGCCCAGAACATCTTGACACGTTGAAGTTAATGCTTCTTTGATACCTTTCTAGTTATCCTCCATAGTAGTTTCTTCTTCCTTCAGTAGATCCTGTAGGGCTTGGAACCTGTTGTTGAGAGCTACCTTGAATTCATTGAGTTTGTCAGTATCTCGAAGGAAGGCTGTATTGAACCTTTGTGGTGCTGTTTGTCCAGTTCTTCTTTAGCTTCAGTTTCAATTTGGCTACAACCAGGTGGTGATCTGAAGCTATGTCCGCTCCTCTCCTGGTTCTCACATCTTCCATTGTCCTTCGGAACTTTTTATTGATGCAAATATGATCTATCTGGTTCTCTGTG